CGTTTCACTTTCCTTCTTATGATGTTTTCGACGAAACCATTGGAGAAGCCGTTGTTGACTAGGACCTGCCTTACCCTACAGAGTTCTTCGTCGACTTGCTTCCATTCTGAGCTGTGGCTGAGAGCACGGTCGACATATGCGTTAACAACACTCCTCTTGTACCTGTCTGGGCAGTCGCTGTTGGCATTTAGGCACATTCCTATGTTCGTTTCCTTAGTGTAGACTGCAGTGTGGAAACCTCCGCTCTTTTCCATGACTGTTACATCTAGAAAGGGCAGCTTCCCATCCTTTTCCATCTCGTAAGTGAAACGCAGCACAGAACTCATCTCAAACGCCTCCTTTAGCTCCTGCAGATGTCTGACATCAGGTACCTGTGTAAAAATGTCGTCAACATACCTGCAGTATATGGCCGGTTTCAAGTTCATGTCGACTAAGACCTTTTGCTCGATGGTACCCATGTAGAAGTTTGCAAACAGGACGCCTAGGGGAGAACCCATGGCGACCCCATCTACTTGCTTATACATGTGCCCATCCGGGCTCAAGAAGGGTGCCTCTTTAGTACAAGCTTGGAGTAGTTTCCTTAGAATATTCTCTGGTAGGTCAAGAGGAGTACAGGCTGGATCACGATACACTCTGTCGGCTATCATCCCGATTGTCTCGTCCACAGTGTGGTGTTTGTGTGTTACTGAGAAAGTCTTGGTTGTAGGGTTGATGTAAAGTCATGACTTGGTTACTGACTTTAATACTTAATATGATTACATGACTAGTAGCTACCAAGCTTGGCTGGCGTCCTGTACGCTCTTGTTTACCTTCCTCTCCCTGGCGTCTGCTCCGCCACACATAGAAAACGGATGGTACCATTTTCTGTGAACATGACACACAGGTACGTTGGTGAACAGTGATTCTACGTCCAACGAGGCTCTTATCCCTGTGGCCCGTGTGCCCCGCAGTAAGTCAACAAATTCTTTTGGAGACTTCAGGCTGAAGGCGCAAGGAACATAAGGAGTCAGCAGGCCGTTGAGTCGCTTTGCCAGTCTGTACGTAGATGTGGGTATCTGGCTGATGATTGGCCGAAGTGGGTTTCCAGGCTTGTGTGTCTTGATATTTCCATATGCGTATCCAGGTTTGTATTCCCCAATAATCTTTGGCAGGTGGAGTCCGGATTTCTTGGCGTTCACAGTTTCGATCAATTTGTTGACCTTCAGGCGAACAAGCCTGAATGGTCCCCAGGACTATATGCGAATGAAAACTCACACCCCAGAAGTGAATCGAACCCATACTCCCAGGAGCAACGCAACTGGTAACTACAGGACGCCTTAATCCGCTTGACCATCATGACCGGACAAAAGGAAGTGATATATATATATATATATATATATATATATATATATATATATATATATATATATATATATATATATATATATATATATGTCGTACCTAGTAGCCAGAACGCACTTCTCAGCCTACTATGCAAGGCCCGATTTGCCTAATAAGCCAAGTTTTCATGAATTAATTGTCTTTCGACTACCTAATCTACATAACCTAATGCAGGCGATGAGTCACAATAACGTGGCTGAAGTATGTTGACTGCAGATTGATGAAGTTTCAGATTCTGGAAAGAATCTTCTCGATATTCTTTGTTTTTCTTCACTGAAGCAGGAAGATTAAAAATTAATTTTCCAACTCTCCAAAGTTCATTTTTACGTATTATTTGGGTCTGACGCCAAGTGATGTGTTTCCTAAGGTCTCACCTTACATTCTCAAAGACAAATTCTTCTGTCTTAGCTCCTGATAATATCCTCTAAAGGTGAGATGGTTGGTGACATGGATGAATGACATACATGGGTTATTAATGGGGTCCTATATAATGGGATCCTATATAATGGAGTCCCGTATAATAGGGTAGTAAATGAAGAGTGTGACATGTTGGCAGTTTATATTCTAATGGTCTATTCTGTTCCTGTTGCAGGGTCATTCGGTCCTGCTTCTGCATTAGTCCGTGGGTCTTGAAGTGGGTAGAGTGTAACTGTGTGTTAGCTAGTTATTGATTGCTGGTCTACATTTCTTGATATGAACTGATGTCTAATTTTCTATTGTCATTGTAGCAATCAACTATTTCGGTGTTGCTCGTCAAAATATCCCTGGTGATCGTCTCGTGTGTGTGGCGATTATATGTTCCATGATTGAGCCCTGTGTTTTATGCATTGGTAAATCGCGCCGTAGTTACAAGGTACCTGGGGGAGACGAACTTGTAAAGGTTTCAGTGTTGTGTTGGAAACATTGAATTCGTATTTCCGCGGAATTACCAGTGAACAGTTAGGGACTCTGTCATTTTCACGTGCCGAGCCGTATAACGCCTTACCGTGTTGTATCGTGCCGTGTTGAGGGCGTGGTACCATCTAGCCGTGTGGGGCTACCAGCCGCCTCACTTTGCCTACCCTAGGCCGCGGGGGAGTACCTACCACCACCACCCTGGTTCGTGTGTTGTTGTTGTTGAGTTAGGGGCGACGACGATCGTGGGATCGGATACGACCCGGTGTACCCGTGAAGGGTGAATCGCGAAGCCAGGAAAGGCGAAACGCCAAGCCAAAACGTAAAACGAGTGACGCCAAGCACTAGAAACTAATGTACCATACGGCAAAGAAACGCACAAAGGAAGAGGCAGAAACACATAATATAACAGGGCAAACAAACAGCCAGAAGGGCACACAGCATGTCGTAGAGCAAATACACAGAAAATCAGAGCACATACTTGCCCGGGAACCTGGCCCGCGGGAGCCGTACATTGAACGCCTCCCAGAACACCCATTGCAAAGGGTCCCGTCCATCCACCGGGGACGCCATAACATCCAGAACCGTGGCAACAAACACCTGCAAACAGAGGACCCAGATGGTAGTACTCATGAGGCGAGAAGTCGCTACTCGCCCCCACAGGAAGGGAACTTGCCCACCATGAAAGTACTCTGGTCCGTCACACAGCAGTAACTCGGCAATCTCCGACCAGTGACCCGGTGGCATCACAGACGCTGGCAACACGTCCCCCAGAGCCCCAACGCGCACCTGCACCACAGGGGTACCCGCGGCCCAGGGCACACCACCAGACGACAGCAAGGAACCCGGACGGCGCGCATCCTTCCGTAACGTCACCACCAGGCCACGCCCAGCACCAGAGTCTACACCATCCCTGGCAGCGGAAGCCACCACCCCCCACCGCGGAGAGTCCCCCGGCAGAGAAAGAACCGAAGGCACGTCCGAGACACAGGCACCAGCACCAGCAGGCACATGGACCTCCGCCACCACGATCTGCGAAGACATCAACGTATCCGTATCCACACCGTCAATACCCAAAGACCCACAGTCACTGAAGTCACAAACGTCGGCCCAGGCAGAAGATGAACGCCGGGAACGTGTGGGAACTGGCCGGATATCGTCAGAGCTGGTAAGTGACCCAGAAACACGGGTACCACGAGCCGGATGAACCGACGCCCGACACAGAACGGCAGCAGCCTCTACCACAGGGGGAACCGGGCCACACACAGCAGGAGGCTTCGTAGCCACCCTAGCACCCAGCACATCCGGGACCCGAGTCACGGACACAGGGCCAGGCGCAGCATCAGAAGACGAGGGAGAAGACAGCGACGTCACACAGGGAGCTCCAGGAAGGCTCACAGGAGCAGCTGGGACAGCGACAGGATCAGGCAGACCAACCGACGGTACCGCAATACCCGGAGGAGGGTCGGCAACAACCGGAGGAACGTCAGGTGTCGCCGGGGGAGCTGCAGCAGCAAACGGGACGCACACCTCCTCATCATCATCACCGGAGACTGCCTCCAGTGGGAGCGGCGGGAAATCCACTACTCGGAACAAGTTGACAGGAGCAGCTGGGGCCTCAGAGCACCCGGCAGCCTGATGCCCCAACAGGCCACACCGGAAACAGGTACGAGGCTGCAGGGCATAATTCACCCGGATGTAGTATCCCATAAGCCGGACAGCAGAAGGTATATCCGACCGCAGGCGCATTCCCAAGGTGTGAATGTTCGTTCGCCTCCCAGCATACCGCCCCGAGGAGAGTGTGTTCACCCGCACGCTGACAACAGTACCATACCTCCCGAAGTAACACCGGAGGAGGTCTTCAGGGAACTCCAGGGGCGCACCATGGACACTGACATAAGTCAGGGCACCACTGCGGTCCGAAATCGCCACAGAGCCGGCATCATTGGGCAACGGCAACGTACGCCCCCCGTAACGACGGAGGAAGTCTCGGTACTCCTCCTCCCTCACGAACTTAATAAAAACCCAGTGGGCCGTAACTAGCTCCACACCGTAGATAGCTTCCACTGGGATACGAAGCATGTCACACATCACCATCTCGATGGTCGTATAACCAGTGTTACAAGTGAACTCCAGGCCCACGGAGTTCACACGCGTAACAGGAGGAAGATGGCCCCCCATGTCAGAACCCCCACGTCAACGCAGCCAGGCAGCCAACAAAACTGGGGGGGGCAGAGACGCCCACACCACCTGGCGACCAAAACAGCAAACAACCCCAACAGCCACGGAGGGTCGGTAAACGTCCTCACTCCACAGCTGCTAGCAGTCGACTCCTGGTTCGTGTGTCGGGACACCGCGCCAGTCACCCCATGGTCTAGCTGACCACGTGTACGAAGTGGAAGGATGCCTACTTCACCACCTACTGCAGCAGCAAGTGGGGGGTTTCGTATGCGTGTGTGTGTGTATGAATGAGACCGGTCGGTGAAAATGGAGTAAGTACCCATTTCTGTTTTGGTGTGTTAAACTCTGAAGCTGGCTTCTCACCCAGTATTTCGTTTGCCATTGTCCCTTTTAACACCTGTGAGGTGATGGGAAGTGGAGACGTGTGAGTTACACTTGTTCTAACGTCAATCAAGTTGAGGAGTGGGCCCAACTGTGAGGGAAGACGTGTATATGGACATAGAGGACACATACACACATACAGTTGTGTGGAGTTGTCATTTATTTTACTGTATCTCCATCGGTGGAGAAGTGGTTTTATTGTATTCCATTTCTCTATTGTGCCGTGTGTGATTCTTTGCAAAGAGTTCCCGTTCCGGCAGTGTAGTGTGTAATGGGAGATTTCCCTTGGTTAATTTATAATTTTATATTATATTTTGGCCAAACGCTTTGATATACTGTTGTGTTGTGTTAGGGCCGTGAATTATTGTTTACATAATATGCTTAAGAAGTGTTTTGCAAGTGCCGTGGGAGGCAAAGTTGTACCGTGTTGTGAACTGTTGACAGTCTGTTTCCTTGGTGTAATGCGTTGTGTACTGTGAAGGATTCCGTGAGAATTAAAGTCATTAACGTCACTGGGGGACATTGCTTAACAAGGGCACTGTTGTGTTGCTGAACAGCGTTGTGAGTAACATAAATTTGTGGGTGCAGTTGTCTGTCCTTGCGACAGTTAGTTGTGTAACCTTTGCTAATTTGTGTAATTTTCAGCAGTCACAGTGAGTTCACGCAGTGGTGAGGAATTGTCGGAAGGACGACTAACGTAGTGTTAACGAATTAACGAGTTGTTGTTATTAAAGTAATTGATTACCGTAAGGGGTTGACTACCTGTCATGGTCGAAGTCAATTGAGCTGTCATAATTTTTTTTTTATTTTTTTTTTTTACATGCAAGCATGCAAGTTAAGTTACAATAAAGCAACAAAATGAAACATAACAATACAAAACAAGAAACCGCCGGCCAGAAGGACCGACACGACAACAATTACCAAAACTTGAGAAGGTTACAAGAAATGCAGGAGAAAAACACTACAAGATACAAAACACAAAACAATTACAAACAAGCAAGCAATGGAAGCAAAACAAGAAAACATAGCAACAATTTAAAACAATTAAGCAGTATAAAACCAAACAGACAGAAGCGCCAGCCTGAAGGACCGACAGCACAGCACAACAGTATGAACAACATGAAATATAACAAGAAACCACATCATACAACAAGCCATTAACAAACAAAAGAAAATAAAAGACAATCACAACACTTAAAGCATAAAATAAAACACACAAGGCAAGGTAACAACACAAAAAACAAATACATGAATAATAACACACACGCCAAACCACCTGCCTCGCCACAAACAAAGGGAGAGGCACGGGCACAAACTACCAGAGGGCAAACAAACAGCCAGAAGGGCACACAGTACAAGAGTAAGCACAGAATTAGGAAATCACCAGACATACTTGCCCGGAAACATGTCCCGAGGGAACCGTACATTGAACGCCTCCCAGCGCAACCACTGCCAAGGGCCTGGACCACCCACCGGGGACGCCATTTCATCCGGAACCTTGGCAACAAACACCCTCAAACAGGGGACCCAGATGGTATCACTCCTGAGGCGAGTGACTGGCACACGCTCCCATACCACCGAGGGAATCGCCCCGTCATGAAATTCGTCCTGAGGTCAGATCGACCGGCCCGTTTACGTTCCCAATTTCTAAAAATTGATGTGAGAATATCTCAGCTGATGGATCGTTTTGCAGTAGCTACATAACTACACGCATAGTTGTAGTTAATTTAAATGTCTTTACGTGGCGCCACAAATTAGAGTATTTCAGGCAAGCATTTATTTCGTCCGCTGGTGTCGATCGAGGAATTACAGGTAATGTTTGCCTGAAAGCTCCTGCAAGCAATATTAATGCGTTCCCAAATGGTCTGATGTTTCCACGCAAATCTTGCAATGATCGATCAAGAGCATCAAACGATATTTGTGGGGGCATTGTGCATTCATCCCAAACAATAAGTTTGCATTTCTGCAATACTTTTCTCATGCCAGATGCATTGGAAATGTTGCACGTTGGAGTTTCAATGAACTGCATGGTTAATGGCGATTTCAAAGTCGAAGTAGCAGTTCTTCCACCTGGTAGCAATGTCGCAGCAATTCCGGACGACGCAAGAGCTAAGTTTATGCCCTTTTGGGATCGAAATGCTGCTAGAATCAATCTAATTAGGAGGGTTTACCAGTTCCTCCTGGCGCATCTAAGATGATTTCTCCAAGCCCGTTATTGACAATTTGAATTATTTGATCGTTAATACCTTTTCGCTCAAGCGTTAGCCAAGGAATATTTGATTAAACATACGACAACAGATCACTCGTGTTATAATTTTCTTCACGACGCAATTCTATGTAGAACAAAGCAGCAGCAGATTGATTCGATGATGGCATTTCCAATTGATTGAGAACTTTGTTAGCGATTTCTAAGCACAAGTCTTCAATCATTATTAACGCTTCGTTGTAGATTTTTGCTGTAAAATCCATGTTCATATTTGAATTTTCTTTGCATATTCGACGGATAATATCTTCAGCCATGTGCGATTTATAATTATCCCATAACTCTGTTGGAGATAACGGTGATCCGGTGGTCAATATGATTGCAAACATTGCACGAATTTGATTTAGATGTGACATGTTGGACGCGTCATTAATGCATACATCCCAGTGCCGATCGTTCTCCAATAAATTCCGAGCATGACATACACTGTGGGAAGTGGCATGTGTTATGCCGTTGACAAATCTCAATAGCTGGAAAGACGTTGGACCGGGCACATTTACCAACAGCATGCGAAGAAAGAAGCATTCATCTTGATTAGGATGCACGGTGTACAGTCTGCCTATCGTAGTTTATTTGAATATGCCAAGTTGTCCGTCGATTCGCTCTCCTCGTTATCATCGTTCAAATGATTTTCTACTGGCATTCCATGTGTAATACGTGGGTACTTCCGAATACAGCATTGTTTTCGCAAACACGTCATTTTGAAGAAAGCAGTTAATGTTGTAGCCAGTGGATTCATAGCTGTTGCTCATTTGCAGCTGTGAAATAAACGTGTTGTCCATTTTCATGTTTTCAAAACCAAAACCAAAAATACTAACGAAATATTTCAATAATTCAAACACAGATCAATCGACACAGTTCAATTTCGTCACCAATTGCATCAAAAAATAATACGAACAGTTAAAAACGAAAAGAAAAACAATGAAAAAAGAAACAAATAAACTATACCCACGAAATGAACGGTATGGTAAACAACGCAGCTCAATTCCATCCCAAAGTCACACAAAATAATTAAATCAAAATGAAAATAAATCAAAATCTACAAAAATTTGATTTATTAATGCAATTGGAAACATTGAAATGGAATCGTAACATGTTCTGCATAGCTTGTGTTGGCCTTACGTGCAACAGATGGCGCTGTTTATAAAAAAAAGCATGTTTTTACCTGTCACAGGTGTGGCATCTAAATAGTAGATATATAAAAACACACGTATTCGAATGAAACGTTGTGTCAAAATTTCAAAGCAATCGGTGAAGAACTTTCAGAGATTAGCGATTATGAACAAACGAACATTTCCATATATATATATATATATATATATATATATATATATATATATATTATATATATATGTATATATATATATATATATATATATATATATATATATATATATATATATATATATATATATATATATATATATATATATATATATATAATATTAAATATGACCGTAAAAGTAAGATTAATAATTCTAACACGAATTTTCTCAATATTTCTTATGGTTCTTTTCCCTGTTGATGGTAATTGAAAAATCAATTCTCCAAAATTCATTTTTATTTCTAGTCTGATGCGACACTTGAACGCGTTTCGAAATAACTTATTGCATTTTCAATGACTTTAGTATACACACACACAACTATATCCTACAAACAGTAAACAGAGTTTAAACAACTTTGATTTTATACCTGCATTTGGGTGAGGTGATATGTTACAACAGTTTTGGATGAGGTGAAAACAAACTTTCAACATAAGACAGGACACAAAACAATGGGTATAATATTTTGTAAGTTAAAGGGAAGAATGGAAGTAACTGCAAAGGGCCTATTGGCCCATATTTCTTGATGCTTCTATATTGGTGCGGAGTCTTGAAGTAGGTAGAATATAGTTGTGTATTAATTGGCTGTTGATTGCTGGTGTCGACTTCTTAATGTGTAGTGCCTCACAGATATCTAGCTGCCTGCTATCGCTGTATCTATCGATGATTTCCATGTTTTTTATTAAGACTTCTCTGGTGATGGTCTGGTTGTGGGAAGAGATTATATGTTCCTTAATGGTGCCCTGTTGCTTAGGCATCGTTAATCGCCTGGAAAGAGATGTTGTTGTCTTGCCTATATACTGAATTCTTTGAGGCTTACAGTCCCCAAGTGGGCATTTGAAGGCATAGACGACATTGGTCTCTTTTAAAGTGTTCTGCTTTGTGTCTGGAGAGTTTCTCATGAGTAGACTGGCCGTTTTCTTGGTTTTATAGTAAATCGTCAATTGCATCTTCTGAATTTTGTCTGTAGGGATAACGTTACTATTAACAATATCTTTCAGGACCCCTTCCTCCGTTTTATGAGCTGTGGAAAAGAGGTTCCTGTAAAATAGTCTAATAGGGGGTACAGGTGTTGTGTTAGTTGTCTCTTACCAGAGGTTGCATGGCGTTTCACCTTCCTTCTTATGATGTCTTCAACGAAACCATTGGAGAAGCCGTTGTTGACTAAGACCTGCCTTACCCTACAGAGTTCTTCATCGACTTGCTTCCATCCTGAGCTGTGGCTGAGAGCACGGTCGACATAAGCGTTAATGACACTCCTCTTGTACCTGTCTGGGCAGTCACTGTTGGCATTGGGGCACGTTCCTATGTTTGTTTCCTTAGCGTAGACTGCAGTGTGGGAATCTCCGCTCCTTTCCATGACGGTTACATCTAGAAAGGGCAGCTTCCCATCCTTCTCCATGTCGTAAGTGAAACGCAACACAGAATTCCGCTCAAATGCCTCCTTCAGCTCCTGCAGATTTCTGACATCAGGTACCTGTGTTAAAATGTCGTCAACATACCTGCAGTATATGGCCGGTTTCAAGTTCATGTCGACTAAGACTTTTTGTTCGATGGTACCCATGTAGAAGTTCACAAACAGGACACCTAGGGGAGAACCCTTGGCGACCCCATCTACTTGCTTATACATGTGCCCATCCGGGCACAAGAAGGATGCCTCTGTAGTACAAGCTTGGAGTAGTTTCCTTAAAACGTTTTCTCGTATGTCAAGAGAGTTCAGGCCGGATCATGATACACTCTGTCCGCTATCATCCCGATTGTTTCATCCACAGGTACGTTAGTAAACAGTGATTCTACGTCCAACGAGGCTCTTATCCCTGTGGCCCGTGTTCCCCGCAGTAAGTCAACAAATTCCTTTGGAGACTTCAGGCTGAAGGCGCAAGGGACATAAGGAGTCAGCAAGCTGTTGAGTCGCTTCACCAGTCTGTACGTGGGTGTGGGTATCTGGCTGATGATTGGCCGAAGTGGGTTTCCAGGCTTATGTGTCTTGGCATTTCCATTTGCGTATCCAGGTTTATATTCCTCAATAATCTTTGGCAGGTGGAGTCCGGATTTCTTGGCGTTCACAGTTTCGATCAATTTGTTGACCTTTGCTTTCAGTTCGGCTTTCAGTTCGGAAAGTGGAGTTGGAGATCCTGTTGGACGACATATTCGACCTCGAGACACAAAAGAAGGTCACCACAAAAGACACCTTACAAGCAGAACTTATTGCGGAAGGAGGAAAGAATCGAGGCAACTCAGAAGCACCATACTGTCCCCCGAGCTCAAAGCGGCAGCTAAGAGCCTTCGTCAGAACAAAGAGATAGTAGTCAGAAGAGGTGACAAGTCGCCAATATATGTAATTCTTAAAAAAGACGAATATCTGGCGAAAATGAACCTCATTCTGTCTGACCAAACTGAATTCCAAAGGGTAACGAAGGACACTACAGCAGAACTGAAAGCTTTTTTTTTCGGTCATATTACTTTTACTTTTTCGGTCATATTTAATAATATATATATCTACAGGAAAGACTGCTACCAAAATATACTAATATATATATATATATATATATATATATATATATATATATATATATATATATATATATATATATATATATATATATATATATATATATATATATATATATATACATATACATATATATTAGTATATTTTGGTAGCAGTCTTTCCTGTAGACATATATTATTAAATATGACCGAAAAAATAAGATTAATAATTCTAACACGAATTTTCTCGATCTTTCTTATGTTTCTTTTCACTGTTGATGGCAATTGAAAAATCAATTCTCCAAAATTCATTTTTATTTCTAGTCTGACGCGACACTTGAACGCGTTTCGTAATAACTTATTACATTTTCAAAGACTTTTAGTTTACACACACACAACTATTACCTGCAAACACTAAACAGAAATCTTACTATGCTATGATTTAAACATCTTTCATTTTTCATTTTATACCCGCATTTTGGGTGAGGTGATATGTTACAACAGTTTTGGATGAGGTGAACAAAACTTTCAACACAGGATAGAACACGAAACAATGGGTATTGAAGGTAAGAATGGAAGTAATTGCAGAGGGCCTATTGGCCCATATTTCTTGATGCTTCTATATTGGAGTGGAGTCTTGAAGTGGGTAGAATATAGTTGTGCATTAATTGGCTGTTGATTGCTGGTGTTGACTTCTTGATGTGTAGTGCCTCGCAGATGTCAAGCCGCCTGCTATCGCTGTATCTATCGATGATTTCTGTGTTGTTTGCTAAGATTTCTCTGGTGATGGTTTGGTTGTGGGAAGATATTATATGTTCCATAATGGAGCCCTGTTGCTTATGCATCTCTTTCCAGGCGATTAACGATGGAGGGAGGGAGGAGGTCTGAGTGACAGGCTCTAGTGTGAAGGAGGAGCTCTGAGTGACAGGCTCTAGTGTGAAGGAGGAGCTCTGAGTGACAGGCTCTAGTGGGAGGGAGGAGCTCTGAGTGACAGGCTCTAGTGTGAAGGAGGAGCTCTGAGTGACAGGGTCTAGAGTGAGGGAGCTCTGAGTGACAGGCTCTAGTGTGAAGGAGGAGCTCTGAGTGACAGGCTCTAGTGGGAGGGAGCTCTGAGTGACAGGCTCTAGTGGGAGGGAGCTCTGAGTGACAGGCTCTAGTGTGAAGGAGGAGCTCTGAGTGACTGGCTCTAGTGTGAAGGAGGAGCTCTGAGTGACAGGCTTTAGTGTGAGGGAGGAGCTCTGAGTGACAGGCTCTAGTGTGAAGGAGGAGGTCTGAGTGACAGGCTTTAGTGGGAGGGAGGAGCTCTGAGTGACAGGCTCTAGTGTGAGGGAGGTGCTCTGAGTGACAGGCTCTAGTGTGAGGGAGCTCTGAGTGACAGGCTCTAGTGTGAGGGAGGAGCTCTGAGTGACAGGCTCTAGTGTGAGGGAGCTATGAGTGACAGGCTCTAGTGGGAGGGAGGAGCTCTGAGTGACAGGCTCTAGTGTGAAGGAGGAGCTCTGAGTGACAGGCTCTAGTGTGAAGGAGGAGCTCTGAGTGACAGGCTCTAGTGTGAGGGAGCTCTGAGTGACAGGCTCTAGTGGGAGGGAGGAGCTCTGAGTGACAGGCTCTAGTGTGAGGGAGGAGCTCTGAGTGACAGGCTCTAGTGTGAAGGAGGAGCTCTGAGTGACAGGCTCTAGTGTGAAGGAGGAGCTCTGAGTGACAGGCTCTAGCGTGAAGGAGGAGCTCTGAGTGACAGGCTCTAGTGTGAGGGAGGAGCTCTGAGTGACAAGCTCTAGTGTGAGGGAGGAGCTCTGAGTGACAGGCTCTAGTGTGAGGGATGAGCTCTGAGTGACAGGCGTTAGTGTGAAGGAGGAGCTCTGAGTGACAGGCTCTAGTGTGAGGGAGGAGCTCTGAGTGACAGGCTCTAGTGTGAGGGAGGAGCTCTGAGTGACAGGCTCTAGTGTGAGTCATTGTTGACGAGAGCAGAAAATTGCTGGAGTAATAGAGACCTTGTGTGATGTGACGTTGAGTAATACCATTATGAGTAGTGTGTGTGTTAGCAGGTGGAGTAGTGGTGGGGGGGGGCAGGTGGAGTAGTGTGGGGGGGGGGCAGGTGGAGTAGTGTGTGGGGGGGCAGGTGGAGTAGTGTGGGGGGGGCAGGTGGAGTAGTGTGGGGGGGGGCAGGTGGAGTAGGGTGGGGGGGCAGGTGGAGTAGTGTGGGGGGGGCAGGTGGAGTAGTGTGGGGGGGGGCAGGTGGAGTAGTGTGGGGGGGGGCAGGTGGAGTAGTGTGGGGGGGGGGCAGGTGGAGTAGTGTGGAGGGGGGGGCAGGTGGAGTAGTGTGGGGGGGTGCAGGTGGAGTAGTGTGTGTGTTAGCAGGTGGAGTAGTGTGGGGGGGGGCAGGTGGAGTAGTGTGGGGGGGGCAGGTGGAGTAGTGTGGGGGGGGCAGGTGGAGTAGTGTGGGGGGGCAGGTGGAGTAGTGTGGGGGGGGGCAGGTGGAGTAGTGTGTGGGGGGGGGCAGGTGGAGTAGTGTGGGGGGGGGGGGGCAGGTGGAGTAGTGTGGGGGGGGTCAGGTGGAGTAGTGTGGGGGGGGGGGGCAGGTGGAGTAGTGTGGGGGGGGGGGGCAGGTGGAGTAGTGTGGGGGGGGGCAGGTGGAGTAGTGTGGGGGGGGCAGGTGGAGTAGTGTGGGGGGGGCAGGTGGAGTAGTGTGGGGGGGGGGCAGGTGGAGTAGTGTGGGGGGGGGGGGGCAGGTGGAGTAGTGTGGGGGGGGGCAGGTGGAGTAGTGTGGGGGGGGGCAGGTGGAGTAGTGTGGGGGGGGGCAGGTGGAGTAGTGTGGGGGGGGGCAGGTGGAGTAGTGTGGGGGGGGCAGGTGGAGTAGTGTGGGGGGCAGGTGGAGTAGTGTGGGGGGGGCAGGTGGAGTAGTGTGGGGGGGGGCAGGTGGAAGTAGTGTAGGGGGGGGCAGGTGGAGTAGTGTGGGGGGGGCAGGTGGGTAGTGTAGTGGAGTAGTGTGGGGGGGGGCAGGTGGAGTAGTGTGGGGGGGGGCAGGTGGAGTAGTGTGGGGGGGGCAGGTGGAGTAGTGTGGGGGGGGCAGCAGTGGAGTAGTGTGGGGGGGGGGGCAGGTGGAGTAGTGTGGGGGGGGCAGGTGGAGTAGTGGGGGGGGGGCAGGTGGAGTAGTGTGGGGGGGGGCAGGTGGAGTAGGTGGGGGGGGGGTGGGAGTAGTGGAGTAGTGTGGGGGGGGGCAGGTGGTGGAGTAGTGTGGGGGGGGGCAGGTGGAGTAGTGTGGGGGGGGGGCAGGTGGAGTAGTGTGGGGGGGGGGCAGGTGGAGTAGTGTGGGGGGGGGCAGGTGGAGTAGTGTGGGGGGGGCAGGTGGAGTAGTGTGTGGGGGGCAGGTGGAGTAGTGTGGGGGGGGGCAGGTGGAGTAGTAGTGTGGGGGGGCAGGTGGAGTAGTGTGGGGGGGGGGCAGGTGGAGTAGTGTGGGGGGGGGGGGGCAGGTGGAGTAGTGTGGGGGGGGGGCAGGTGGAGTAGTGTGGGGGGGGGCAGGTGGAGTAGTGTGGGGGGGGCAGGTGGAGTAGTGTGGGGGGGGGCAGGTGGAGTAGTGTGGGGGGGGCAGGTGGAGTAGTGTGGGGGGGGCAGGTGGAGTAGTGTGGGGGGGGGCAGGTGGAGTAGTGTGGGGGGGGGGGCAGGTGGAGTAGTGTGGGGGGGGGCAGGTGGAGTAGTGTGGGGGGGGGCAGGTGGAGTAGTGTGGGGGGGGGCAGGTGGAGTAGTGTGGGGGGGGGCAGGTGGAGTAGTGTGTGGGGGGGGCAGGTGGAGTAGTGTGGGGGGGGGCAGGTGGAGTAGTGTGGGGGGGGGGCAGGTGGAGTAGTGTGGGGGGGGGGCAGGTGGAGTAGTGTGGGGGGGGGGCAGGTGGAATAGTGTGGGGGGGGCAGGTGGAGTAGTGTGTGTGTTAGCAGGTGGAGTAGTGTGGGGGGGGGGCAGGTGGAGTAGTGTGGGGGGGGCAGGTGGAGTAGTGTGGGGGGGGGCAGGTGGAGTAGTGTGGGGGGGGGCAGGTGGAGTAGTGTGGGGGGGCAGGTGGAGTAGTGTGGGGGGGGGCAGGTGGAGTAGTGTGGGGGGGCAGGTGGAGTAGTGTGTGTGTTAGCAGGTGGAGTAGTGTGGGGGGGCAGGTGGAGTAGTGTGGGGGGGCAGGTGGAGTAGTGTGGGGGGGCAGGTGGAGTAGTGTGGGGGGGCAGGTGGAGTAGTGTGGGGGGGGGGCAGGTGGAGTAGTGTTGGGGGGGGGCAGGTGGAGTAGTGTGGGGGGGGGGCAGGTGGAGTAGTGTGGGGGGGGGCAGGTGGAGTAGTGTGTGTGTTAGCAGGTGGAGTAGTGTGGGGGGGGGCAGGTGGAGTAGTGTGGGGGGGCAGGTGGAGTAGTGTGTGTGTTAGCAGGTGGAGTAGTGAGGGGGGCAGGTGGAGTAGTGTGGGGGGGGGCAGGTGGAGTAGTGTGGGGGGGGGCAGGTGGAGTAGTGTGGGGGGGCAGGTGGAGTAGTGTGGGGGGGGGGGGGCAGGTGGAGTAGTGTGGGGGGGCAGGTGGAGTAGTGTGGGGGGGGGCAGGTGGAGTAGTGTGGGGGGGGCAGGTGGAGTAGTGTGGGGGGGGGGGCAGGTGGAGTAGTGTGTGTGTTAGCAGGTGGAGTAGTGTGGGGGGGGCAGGTGGAGTAGTGTGGGGGGGGGCAGGTGGAGTAGTGTGGGGGGGGGCAGGTGGAGTAGTGTGGGGGGGGGCAGGTGGAGTAGTGTGGGGGGGCAAGTGGAGTAGTGTGTGGGGGGGGGCAGGTGGAGTAGTGTGGGGGGGGGGGCAGGTGGAGTAGTGTGGGGGGGGCAGGTGGAGTAGTGTGGGGGGGGGGGCAGGTGGAGTAGTGTGGGGGGGGCAGGTGGAGTAGTGTGGGGGGGGGGCAGGTGGAGTAGTGTGGGGGGCAGGTGGAGTAGTGTGTGTGTTAGCAGGTGGAGTAGTGTGGGGGGGGCAGGTGAAGTAGTGTGGGGGGGGGGCAGGTGGAGTAGTGTGGGGGGGGGGGCAGGTGGAGTAGTGTGGGGGGGGGGCAGGTGGAGTAGTGTGTGGGGGGGGCAGGTGGAGTAGTGTGGGGGGGGGCAGGTGGAGTAGTGTGGGGGGGGGCAGGTGGAGTAGTGTGGGGGGGGGGCAGGTGGAGTAGTGTGGGGGGGGGCAGGTGGAGTAGTGTGGGGGGGGGGCAGGTGGAATAGTGTGGGGGGGGGCAGGTGGAGTAGTGTGTGTGTTAGCAGGTGGAGTAGTGTGGGGGGGGGGCAGGTGGAGTAGTGTGGGGGGGGGCAGGTGGAGTAGTGTGGGGGGGGGGCAGGTGGAGTAGTGTGGGGGGGGGCAGGTGGAGTAGTGTGGGGGGGCAGGTGGAGTAGTGTGGGGAGGGCAGGTGGAGTAGTGTGGGGGGGGGCAGGTGGAGTAGTGTGTGTGTTAGCAGGTGGAGTAGTGTGGGGGGGGGCAGGTGGAGTAGTGTGGGGGGGCAGGTGGAGTAGTGTGGGGGGGGCAGGTGGAGTAGTGTGGGGGGGCAGGTGGAGTAGTGTGGGGGGGCAGGTGGAGTAGTGTTGGGGGGGGGCAGGTGGAGTAGTGTGGGGGGGGCAGGTGGAGTAGTGTGGGGGGGGGGCAGGTGGAGTAGTGTATGTGTTAGCAGGTGGAGTAGTGTGGGGGGGGCAGGTGGAGTAGTGTGGGGGGGGCAGGTGGAGCAGTGTGTGTGTTAGCAGGTGGAGTAGTGAGGGGGGCAGGTGGAGTAGTGTGGGGGGGGGGGGCAGGTGGAGTAGTGTGGGGGGGGCAGGTGGAGTAGTGTGGGGGGGCAGGTGGAGTAGTGTGGGGGGGGGGCAGGTGGAGTAGTGTGGGGGGGGCAGGTGGAGTAGTGTGGGGGGGGGCAGGTGGAGTAGTGTGGGGGGGGCAGGTGGAGTAGTGTGGGGGGGGGCAGGTGGAGTAGTGTGTGTGTTAGCAGGTGGAGTAGTGTGGGGGGGGGGCAGGTGGAGTAGTGTGGGGGGGGCAGGTGGAGTAGTGTGGGGGGGGCAGGTGGAGTAGTGTGGGGGGGGGCAGGTGGAGTAGTGTGGGGGGCAAGTGGAGTAGTGTGGGGGGGGGGCAGGTGGAGTAGTGTGGGGGGGGGGGCAGGTGGAGTAGTGTGTGTGTTTATTCGTTTGCCTTGTTCGGGTAGAATGTAGACTCAGTAGTCGCTTCTGTATATATTTATTGACTGAGATAGCAAGGTAAATATCTGCCTAGCCGAGGTCCTTCTACTCTGAGTCTGTGAGGATAACTCAGGCTGCTGGGAGCATGCCTGATGCTCCTCTGTCTGGCATGACGTCAGAGGCCTACTCGCCTGTGATTGGTTACATTTCAACTGACAGAATTTGAGTATAACACCGCTCGGACACGCTACCAAGTCGACGTCCCTTGTCGACAAGCTCTGGCTAGCTATATAGTTACAATGATACTGAAAGGACCTCGGTGGCATACAATAATGGCTTACATGTGAAATTTGCATAATAAAACATTGAAAGAAGATCAGGTGTGCGTAATACAAACAACTCGGCATATATGCACCAAAAAAAAAATTCATCATAATAGGTGAAAATCATGGTAACAATGCTTTGATTAAATCAGAGTATTAAGAACATGTGTATGTCTACTGATCAGATATGAACAATACAACTCAAGGTATTGCCTAAACAAAATTATTAACATGTGTCAATGGCATGTGCTTGAAAACCATACAAAATTAAACAATTATTACATTAATAGAACAAAGTTCTGACCTAACAACCACAATTGAATTTCAAGATAGATAATTTTTTTTTTTTTTTTTTTCGAAATATACAATATATTTACAAGACCAATGTACAATATATATAATGTGCAATATATTTACAAGCATATACAAGACCTGGATCAAGAAGACTAACATCTGCGTGATAGCAGTCAGGATTCACTGGCCACAATGTGGTTGCTAGAACAATAATAACTCCTATGACAAGCACTGTAAAAAATACAAATGGTAGTAGACTTAACAATGGCATC